ACTACGTCAATTTGTGGAGGGAATAATATTTGCTTTATTTAGGGGAGGTTGAATATAAATAAAATCGATTTTGGTTGAATTTATTGGTTAAAATGGGTTAATTTTTAATAAAAATGATTGAGTGAGATTTTGAATTCATTTTTAAATAATATTTAAAATGTAATGACTAAAGTTTTTTTTTAAAAAAAAAAAAAATAGATTCATTCAACCAATGTCAAGGAATCGAAAGATCCCGAAAAAAAGGAAGAGAAAAAAGACGGCGTAGAGTCCGTCTAAAGAAACGAGTCAGACGCCCCTAAAGCCCATTTAGCTAGCTCATGAGCACTAACATTATTACCTCTAGCAACATGATTACAAACACTACAAATCAGGGATGACAAAAGATTGATAATATCTTCGAAAACATGTTGCAACGTATCATTTGGAAGGCGATCAGTAATTCCATGGATGACAGAAGTTGATGTAATGTAATAAAAATAGGAGAAATGTTATTGCAAATGGTAGATAGTTAAAATTACGTGAGTGCATGAATTATATTAAATTTTCATTGACTTTTGAATTAAATAATGCAAAAAATTATTTGGTCTGTCAAAATTGGTTAATACATGTAATCGTTCATGGCCTTACTATTGAAGAAAATATTTTACTGGATTATTATTCTTTTTTTTTTCAGAAACGATATTATTTATTCTCAAACGAAAAAGATACAAGACCTTCCGGAATAAAAAAAAAACTTATATCCTGAAGCTAATAAAGGCCATGGATTTACAAACAGCTACCAAGGAAGAAATAAACTGGAAAGAAAGCCAAAAGACTATCAAAAGGTTTGGACTACAAAATAAACAACTAAAAGAAACCACGCCCTAACAAACCCAAAGCTAACTAACCCCAAGTTGTACAAAGCCACAGATAGCATATCCTACTAGATGCTTACGACAAGTCCCTAGGATATAGCGGGAAAGAAAGAAAATAAAACAGATAAGAAATCTAAGATACATTAAAAAATTCCGACCATTCTTGAACTGCGCCATTCACGATTTCCTTAGCTGAGAGCCATCTTCATTCGAAAATCCATAAGTTCCATCCTTTCCAAAGCCACCACAACAAATATACTGTCAATTGTTGACGTTGAGCATAAATTTTTGTGGTTCTTCCTTCACAAATTCTACACCACCAACCCTTGAAGTCAGATTCATGGCAGAATTGCATCCATCCCAACTTACCGGAGCTAACATCCAGACCAAGGATTCTCTCTCACAGGAAAAGAAAATATGTTCCATTGATTCAGAAGCTTCTCCGCACAAACTACAATATTGATGTGGTTGAGATTTTTTCAACCAAAGGTTCCTGGCTGTTGGCATAGCATTGTTTAAGACTCTCCGAATGAAATGTTTAAGTTTGTGCTTTATTTTGAGAGACCAGGTCACCTGCCACTTTCTTTTCAATTGTTTATTGCCTGAGCTACTTTCAGGACGATCAAGAGAATTTCGGACCAACCTTAATGATATGGTGTATGCTGACTTCACTGTAATTCGCCTTTTGGATTGAGATGCCAGATAAACTTATCGGTTGTTGCAAATTCTGTAGAGGGATACTAAGGATAGCCTTGACATCTTGTTCAACAAAAGTATTCTTGATTAGGTTGGCATTCCATCTTGACCCGCTCTCGTCGAATAGTTGTTAAACCCATTCACGTGAGATTCATTATTCACGTGAGACATAATGTATCAATGAAATAAAAATAAAAAGTAAATTATTTTTTTAGGGAAATATTTGGTTTGCATATTTGTTAATTAACGCATGACCCCATTGTTTTGTGACTGGGACCGGCCCGGTGGGTCGACCCGGGATCCGGAGACCCAGAGCCGAAACCGGTCTGAGTGGGCTATTTGGACTGGGTAACAATGGACCTGTCAAAACCCGGATCTGACCCAATCGACCCGGGTCAATGACCCGGTCTCTATAAATTTTTTATTTTTTTATATTTTTTATATAGAAAAATAAAAACTATGTTCATATAATGACATAGTATATATTTATTGTGAGATTCAATAAAAAAAAATACTATATATATAATTTTAAAAATTTTAAAATTAATTATCCGATTCAGCAACCCAGTAACCTGACGGTTGAACCAGTGACCCATTGACCCGGAGACCTGCCCGGGTCAATTTTCGGGCCGAATTTAAAAACTATGCATGACCCACTTAATAATTTTAAATAAATATATGAATGAGTCGTTCTCCATGTGAGGCTACATAGATAGGGCTATTGTTATAAAGGACTCTTTTGACAAATGAAAAATTATGTAAAACTAATATAACTTTTAAAAAATAATATAAATAGTGATATGAAATTGCATAATATAAATGCATTTTTTATTTAAGCCTCACAACAGAAAATAATTGTGATATCTATATGGCTTCAAATTAAATAATTAATCATGGTTCATATTCCCATGAGCCATATCAGCCCAGAATATTCAAGCATTGAAAAATGAGGAAATTGCACTCAGTACCCACCAATCTAAAATATATTATAATTATACATTCATTATATAAATATTTATACAATTACCTAACTAAGCCTAAAATATTGCTAATATACCTAAGAGAAACAATTTAAACTTTATCAGATAATTAAAGGAAAGTTACACAATTTATGGACATCTTTAATATGCAATATCTCTTCTCCAACAAAAAAGATCCCCCCACCGCCCACGTTCACTACCTCCAAAGAAAAGAAAAACTTCCTCTTCAACGCCGGCGAAGAAAAACTTCCTCTTCAACAAAAAAAATCACCATCGATTTCTCAAACTACTGAAATGGCGGAGACAAAAATCACTTGCGATCCTCGAAAAATACCGGCGAAAGAAGGGGATGAAACACCACGCCTGACTTCTCCGCCAAGTACGTCCCCTTCAACGCCGTCCTCCACCGAGTCCTACTCCCTCGACGAGATCGTCTATCGATTTGTTCCCGCGGTAGTCATCTACATGTAGGCGATGCGAGAATCGGTTTATATGGAGTCCTACTCCCTCCACCGACGATGGCGTTCTCTAAAAAGGGTTTCGGCGTCGCCACAATCTGGGGGAGATGATTAGTTGGTTGCAGGAAATTTGAATTTTGCTTTGATTTTTTTTAGGGTTTTGGATTGTGTGTAGATTAGTCATTACGTTGAAATTCGTGGATACTGGATGGAGTATATGTACAGTATATGTTTGGTATATGCGATACCTTTTTATTGTCGTTTTTTTTTATGTTACATCTGGTATATGCGATATTTTTTTGTTGTCGTTTTTTATTATCCAATGGTTTATTTTTGCTATATGGTATATGCGATACTTTTATGTATAAAATCAGTATATTTTTTGTATGTATTCGGTATATATGCCGAAAATTGCATAAACTGATTGGTCTGAAATTTCGTTTAAATTAAGTAACATGTACAATATGTTTATAAAAGACAATATACACAGAAAATATATTGAAAATATAATAATTACAAAACAAAACATAAACTGAAAACATTCAATGAACTATAAAATAAAAAAATAAAAAACTCAACATAAACCCAACATATATACTGTGTAGTATATGCACAATATATTATTTTTTATTTCTATGGTATATGTTAAGTAATCTGTTATAATATAAATTATATATATACTTAAGTCAAATAATAAATAAATAAAACATAAAAGATTTATTGTGTGATGGAAGATATGTTTTTAATTAGCAACATATATTGAATATATACCAACATAAACCCAACATATACCCACCAAGATAACACCCACCTCTGCGTGAATTAACATACACTGAATATATACCAACATAAACTTAACATATGCCACAACTTTGCGCGAATTAGCATATACTGAATATATACCAACATAAACTTAACATATGCCACACTTCTGCGCGAATTAGTATATACTGAATATATACCAACATAAACTCATCATATACCCACTGGGACAACTCCAAAAATTACGAAATTAAATGAGCCAGTTATTTATTATATTCATGTTTTTCAGTTCTCTCTCTTAATCAAGCCCATAAAAAGTGGGAGAGATATGAAAACATGTCAGTTTTAAAAGGGCGTAAATCATGGATTGAAAAAGTAAATGAGAGTTGACTTATTTGTAACTGATTTTTAGGGATTTATGTAGTATATTTTTACAAATTAGGTAGATGTACAATATATTATATATGAACGGTATTTTTGCAATATTTTTTATTTCTCGTAGGAACTTGAAAATTTCCCTTGAAAAATTTGAACTTGGTAAGCCCAATCTTACCAACTAATGAAATGAGCCCATGGATCTTTGCTCATTCAACCAGAACTGATCAAGGTCAACTCTGACAGCTCATAACAAAAAAAAAAAAAAAAAAAAAAAAAAAAAAAAAAAAATTGAAAATAACTGTGCGTTGATCCCTCTGAATTCAATAATTTTGGAAAGATTGTGCATTTTCTTATCTTAAACCTCGCAGTTGCTACCGCTGGCGATGTTTCAGTTGATTGCTGCTTGATCGGAATTTCGGTTAATATTATCATCCATGTATTTCGAGAGTTTTCGTTTGTCCAAATGCACCGGAAAATTGCGGAAGGCCAAAATCGGGCCATAGCAAAACCGTACACTTTAAAGCGTATTTTCAAGGGAAAAACGTCTACTTGCAAAGCTCGCTTCTTTCTATTTCGAATAAATAAATAAATAAAAGATTCGTCAATTACTATACCAATGAGACATAACGCAGACCCCAAAACATAATTGCAAGTTGCATTCCTCTGGGCAGTAAAAATCACTCCAAAAAAAAATTATAATAATAAAAAATGTTAGGAATCAATAATCAACTCATACTACACTAAGGCCACACTCGGCTTAAATCGCTAATAGATTGATGAATATAACCGAAAAGGATAGAGTAGATGTAACCAGCAATGAATACCTCTGTCAAAATTGTACCCCACAGCTCCCGAACAACAACACCCCATTTTCAGGTCGAAGAAGAATTCTGGTTCGGGCTCGAACGGCGATAACCCCTTTCTCTGCCTTGTTGGTAACCACCTTCTCCACTGAGTCCACCATTAAAGTTACCACGGCCCCTCAAATCTCCATTTCTACCGTAAACCCGACCACTGCTGAAGTTACCCCGGCCTCTGAAGTTTTCGTTACGAAACCCTCCGCGTGAAGAAGCAAACCGACCCCTCCCACCGCCAACTGTAGAGAAATAGTGACGGGCATATAAAAAAAAAATAATAATAATAATAATAATAAAAATCGCTCGAGATATAAGTTCACAAGTACATATCGTGAATTAAGTTTTTGGTGAAAAGCCTCACCTCGAGTAGTGGTTCTCTTTATCTCGACTGTAGCTTGACGGTCTCCGATAGTCATTGGAGATTCCTGAAGTGAATGAAAGGGGAAAAAAAAAAAAACGGTTAACACAGCCGAGCACAACAACATAGTACAAGGTACATTTATGAGAAAATCCACATTCATACTGAATTCGGATATATAATACAACAATTGACTAGGCTTTCGTTTCTCATAAAGAAAAAGGCCAATTAATCACATGCCAAATGAGAATATTGCACCATAGGTGTCTTAATGATCGAATTGCTCAAAATTGTGAACATTTGAGGTGCAAGTTCAAGGAGGTAACCCACTATATCTGACTCCAATTTAAAAAAAAAAAAAAAAAAAAAAAAAAAAAAAAAAAAAAAAACCAATGGAAAGGAAAGAAGCAGAAGTTAAAGGCTGCAAACCTTAATGGCACTTTGCACGGCGCTGAGTTCTTGAAATTCAACAAACCCGAAACAGAATCTTTGTTCCTGAGAAGAAAAGAGGTAATGATCCAAAAATCAACACAAAATTCAGCAAATTGAACAAAATACTAAAACAAGTTGCACTAAAACCAACCCAGTTATTTCTGACTTGAACCCCATTCGGCTTAATAGTTCCAAATTTCTGAAATTCAGCTTGAAGCTGTGTGACTGTAAAATGTAGAGGCAAATTGCGGATGTATATGGAGTGGCCCTGAACTGTGAGATATAGGCGAAGAAAAAATTATCAGAATAGAAGCGTAGCTCAAAGAATTTGCAAGTATTCAACTATCATCCATCTTGTCAAATGCTCTGCGGCTTCTTTTTTTAATACGAAAAAACTAACAATCATCTTCCTTATCAGAAACATAGAAGTTTGTGGTGCTTTCACATACACATATAAGTAAGGGAAATAGCTGTTAGGCAAAATACCTTCATCCTGGACATCTTTATTTTCTGGTACATCATCAGGTCGAATATCAGAAGTTGATTCACGGCGTGATTCCTTTGTGTCTGTGTTGATTGGTTGCTCAGCTTTGGGCTGAGCTAATTTGGCTGTGGTAGTAGGAACGTAGATTTTGGTTGGACCTTTCTTCGTCTGTGAGCTAACAATTGATGCATACGACTTCTTTGGAGTTTCCTCCTGAGATGAAGAAGTACCTGCATCTGCAACCTCAGTTACATGATTCCCATTAACATGGGAGTCGGCTTCTATCAAGGTATCTGTATGATTATCACCAGCTTCTCTCTCTTCAATCACTAGGTCACTGCTTTTTGCCTCAAATATTTCAGCTTCCTCCACTTGAGAAGTTTCATGGTCCACTTTTGGGGAACCGACCACTTGAGCTGGTTCTGGAAAAAAGAAACGGAGAAATAAAATAAAGAATCCTTAAAACCTTAGATGTTCTATGAAAAAACAATGACAATATGTACCTGGATCTTGGGTAGCAGAACGAGATGGTGTTAACTGAACTCCAGTAACTGTCTCCATGCTGATTTCTGGTTCACTCTCTTCTACATAACGAAGAATATCATTTAAGACGTAGTACCCTTTGTCCTGAGGAGCAAGGAAAAAAGTCTGTGTGAATTTCTTTTTCAAGTTGTCAGGTCCGGTCAAGCACCCAGTTACTTGCACCACCACTCCATCTTCATAAGAATCTTGTGCATCAGCAGTCTTTATCTCAGCCTTGTATTTTTTGTAATCCAAGGAACATATAGTTTCGTTTATGCTCTGGTATAATAAGAAAACAGAGATAGTTGATGTCACTCATTACTGCATAAAATTTAAACCAGCATCTGGAAATATATAAATGAACTGCCTAAACTAAAAAAAATAAATAACAAGACGAAAATGAGAACCGTCACATTGCGCAAAACCATACTAATATATGCAGTTTTCACTCTCCTTGCCTAGGAGATAAGTGAATAAAACAATATCTCAGTCTCCAAATAAATCCCCCAATGGCCCTGACATCTTTTACTGGGCAAATGAAAACACCCATTTCATATATATGCCAATAAAAATATTCTAATTCATACACACATAAACAGTCGAGAGATACTCTTGGTTCATTACAACTATATGACATTTCCAGCCATCTTTTAGATACAAAATTTAAACACTTTTCAAACTTGCAGCAGTTAGCTTCGTAGGTCATCAACATCCAAGTTGATAACTTAACCTGAATTTATCTTATTATTACAAGTCCAACAAGCTCAAGTAAACGGAAACGGTTGAACAAATGCAATCTGTATGCCTAACTGCCAATGCAAGTATATGGTTATCTTTCTATCAAAAGATCCATTCATTGTAGTGTCTATCTTACTTGTGTAAAGTAAAGTAACATAACACAAGCTCATTCCAGTTAACATACTTGAAGCCTCTGAACAACACTTCCCAAAGATTATCGCACCATATCAGCAAATTGGAAAAAGAGGGTATAAGAATTTGGAAACAAAATCAATTTTGAGGATGAGAAGATCTCCTGTGGTATGAAACGACACTTCATGCAATTCTAAACTCACTTTCATAGTTGTCACGGTCGTCATGAGGCCACTAGGATCTGGACGGCTCAACACACTAACATCCTGGTAAAATCGGTGGACCAACTCAGGAGAGTGGTGAAGGATGTGATAATACTGGTCAACAAAAGCATTGCCGACAACTTCAGCAGTGGGAGGTGGCGGAGGATTCGCTGCTTCTGTTGCCATTCCTGTTAGAAGCTAACAAACCTAATGTCAGAACACAATCTCAGTTAAACTCTTTTCCGGATACAAAAATGAAAGCTACCATCTTTATAGCCCTCTTCAATAACCATAAACCCAACCATCATGACCCACACATTATTACTCATTATCGACTTAACAACTAAACAGGGAACATTACCATATTTGACAAACACCCATTTCCTCAAAACCCTAATCCCTTAGTGTCTGCATCAGACTAAAGGGAACCCCTCTCATCCCCTTGAATGGGAGTCTCTAAATCAGTAACATTTGCATAAAACTCAAAACCTAATCAGCGCAAGGTTACCAGTTAACAGCCATTCAATCGTACCAGTAGATCGAACGGTGACATGAATCAAGGAAACTAACAGCGGAATCCGAAAACACGACAAAAACACATAAAATGAAAATCACTGTATCCTTTGATTGACGTAAGCTCACGTTACCGGTCAATCGAGAGACGGCCAAAGCTTACATCACTGACGGCTACATCGCAAAAGAACAAAAATGGAGAGCAAAAAAAAAAGCAGATCGAGCAAGGAAAGAGCTCAAAGTATACCTGATTAGCTCGGCTTTACTTCAAAAATGAGGGGGAGAGAGAGAGAGAGAGTGAGAGTGAGAGATCAATTGAATGTGGAGTTGCAGAGAGAGAGAGAGAGAGAGAGATAGAGAGAGAGAATTTGCGGTGGTTAACAGTGATTTTATGAGTGAGTAGATGAAGCGTCCGTTCTTCATAAGCTGGGTTTATCTTAATTATACTGAATTAATATGTGTATTTATTTGGGATTCTATTTTTTTTTATTTTTTTT